TATCAAGATGATTTAGTGGTGGAAGGGAAGTGACAAATCAGAGAGTGAGATGAGAAATGGTTGTTTGGCTTATAACCTAAGTTCTAAAACATTGAAATTACTTATATACTTATTTTTCTCAAGGATTTTTACTTAAGCGAGACCATTCTCACTTAAGCAAAAAAATTAGATAAAATTTTCTACACATTTGCTGATATTTTTGCTTGATTGAAATTATTTTCGCTTGAGCAAAAGTATATGAGAGAGCTCCTATTTTTGTTACTCATTCTTGTTGTGCGAGGTATTTTTCGCTTGAACGAGAGTACAGATGAACAATCCTTATCCATTCTTGCTGAGCGAAAAGCAATTTTTTTTAGAAACTCTTCCATTTTAAAAATAAAAATAATAAATAAAAATTTAGATGTTACATTTATTGAGAGAAGAAGATGAACGACCCCAACAATAGTATTTACAAATGAATCGAGGTCATTAGAGGCGAGGGCTGTAAATTGTTGGTGTTCTAGTTGAAGGACTATGGAACACCCTATTAACAATGGGTAATAGGTTTATGAGCAAAATTTGAGAGCAAACCACAGAGAAACGGTCATCAAGTCTCTTAAGAAAGCGAATGGTAACATCTTGTCTATGGTATGTCTTTGTTGAGCAGGTGCAAATGGGAATCCCAGAGGGACATCAAGCTAGTCTAGCAGTTTGTGATAGTGCGAGAGTTTTGTCTGAGTCCATAGATCTCTTCCTGTAGCTCTGTGATGCGCAACAAAATGTTATGTGAAAACATTCTCGTAAATTTGGCCAAATATTGATGGCACTATCTGAATAAATAATGCTCTAAGCAATGGATAGAGACAACGAGTTCAAGAGTCAAGACATGATGAGAGTGTTGCATCTCTTCCAAGAGGAAAACAGAAGGTTCATGGTAGCAAGAACATGTATGGAATCCTTTAAAAATCTCATCTTGCTTTTGGAAAGGAGAGTCATTCTGAAGGAGTGTGACCATGGATGATATTTATTATCTACAAGAATAGGGGTAATAAGAACTGATGAAAGGCTCTCACTAGGGTGGGACTAGAAGGTTTTTCCCCTAAGTCATCATTTGGAGTATAGAACTATAATCATTACTAGAATTGGTAGATATTGTATTTGACATGATGTAAACATTTGGGTATTAGTAGAGATCTAGGTGAGAGCTTTGATACCATTAAAAAAAGAAGAAGACAAAGACTAAATAATAATGATGTAAGATATAATCATTGTATATTGCTAAATCTAATTTATACAAATATATATTGAGTAATGACTCATTTGGATAATGCCAAAAGTAAAAAAAAAAAAAAGCCTATAAATTAGACTATTCTGAAAGCTAACAAATATTTAAAGTCTATAATTAATCTTTTTCTAATATATAAGAATGTGTTGTTGTTATACGATTATTAGTGTGTCATTTTGTGCTTGTAATAATTTGAATTGTGCTCTTCATTTGTTATTAAAATTTAAAAATAAAAAAAGATAATTTATAAAATGATTTATTTACAATATAAAAAATAATTTATTAATTGCATTTTAACTAATTTAAAATTTATATATATATATATATATATATTTTTTTTTTGAATCAATGAATTTAACTCAAATTATTTTTAATTATATCTGATTTGATTATATTTAATTTTTTAATATATATCTAAAAACACATAATAAAAAAATTAATAAATAATATTTTTATTCAAAATTGTAACATAAGAAAGATAATAAAATAATTTATTATGGTTATCTAACTAAATTAATAATATAAAAATTGGATCATTAAATTCAACAAGTATCATTTTATCAAAATAAATTTTAAATATATTTTGTGAATATTTTTAAAATATAATTAAAGTCTTCAAGTCTATTTATTTAATTAAACAATTTTAAATTTAAATTTAAATTCAATTGATTAAGTAAATTTAATTTTAACGAGTGTAACTTGTTATACATATGTTTTACTTAAACAATTGTAATTTTATTTACTTAATTATATACATATAAAAAAAAGTTCAATTAGATAGTTTTTGTATTTATATAATTTAAAATTTTTCAATATAATAAAATATTTATCAATCTAATCGTGTATATATATATATATATATATATATATATATATATATATATATATAACATTAATTTTATAAAATTTTATATAAAAAATAAAATTAATATATATTTCATCGTATGACTGTAGTTTAACATATAATATATTATTATTAAATTGTATAGAATAATATATTTACAAACATTAAAATTGAATAAAATTTAAAATAATAATCATAAAACAAAAATATTACATAACTGAATGGTTGTATTATTAATATTACATTTGATGAAAAATTATTAAGTGATTAAAACTATTGAAAAGATAAAATAAATATTAACTATATTTATAAATACTAAAAACATATTTTATGTTACAAAATTATATAGCACGCAATTTAGGGATAAAAAATATTAATTCTCTTATACCTAGTTTTGGATTATACTTGCGTTTGATCCTTTGATCCGCAATGTGAATGATGAAGGCATTGGGGACATACTTAACATCGTACCAATGGCCATCTCTAGAGGCTTGAAGGCCTTGCACCTCGTTGGGTACCAAAATGGTGAGGTAGGATATGTTTGTGTGTGGTGGCACACCAAGGACGAGATCAGGAAAAGGACATGATGGATAATAGTTTATTTTTAGAAGTTGTATCATCTTATCTCCATGTGGAGCCTCCTTTAGCTCATTTTCTTCAAGCCCAAGCCCCGTTGACATACTTTTGAACAATTTCTTCACCACCACATGTAAGTGCTTGCAATATTCCTTACTAACCTCCCTGGTTGAAAATTAAGTATTTCAAAACATTGGTTAACTCAATAAATAATAATGATTTAACATTTTTTTCCTCACACTTGATTAATTTTTTTTTTTGTTTTAATCACTTCAAATAAAATCTTGTTGTTTTGTTCTTACTTTTTTACAAATTTTTTATTTTAGCCTTTATTGTTGATTTGGTCTATCGTAATATTGTCTAGTGTTAGTTTTTTTTAATGCTAATAGAAGGAGTAAAAATAATAATGATGTGAAAAAAGTATATATACAAAAAAGATTTGGATACAGAAAACTAACCTGTAAGAAGGAGGGTTCTTAGGCCAGAAACAGTAGTTTATGGAGGAAGGTGGCCATACAAAGTGAAACAAATGGTTTACCCAACCCTTCTTGCCATTTACCTCTTTTGAAAGCTTTGTGTCATACCTTTCTAAAGAATCTGACCCCTTAGACATATTATATAACTCTTTTTCTTTTTGAGGTAATTCAAAAAACTCTTAAGATTGTAGTTAAATATAATAATATTTATCAATGTAAAAAATATCAAATAGTACTTAAAAATTAGACATTGTCATTAGAATAAATTGAGTTTGCATTTTCTTTTATCATCTTACTTTTCATTTTTTGCATTTTTTATTTATTATAGTTAAATTTGATTAATTACAAAAATTAATATTAATATTTTTGTGTCATCTGCAATAGTATAAATAATTTGAGTTTAATAAAATATTATTTTTTAATAACAATATGTTAAATATTAATAAAATGCTTGACTCTATCAAATATTATACTTAGAACATTTGAAAAAAATCAATGTAATTATACATATAAATTAAATTAATAATCTATTGATATTTATTATTAATTTTTTTTAGAGATATATTAGATCATAGTACCACTTCTATTTTAATTTTATCTTGAATAAAACATTAATGTTTAAATTTTTGTATATATATTCATTCATTTTTTTAAAAATTTATTTAAAGAATACAGCATCATAGATTTATAAAAATGAACTATAAAATATTTGCAAAAAATTTTAAAATTCAATTCACTTCCGTCTTAAGTTTTGAAACATTTTTTTAATATATAATCAATTTTTTATATCATAAATTTAATCTTACGATTATTTTAATAATTAAATATGAAATACTTCGAGTATAACTTTGATATATCATTAATATAAATATTTTCACATTATAAACCAATTAAAATATAGGATAGAAAAGAGTTTTAAAATAATTATTATAAAAACTAATATTTTTTTAAATAATAATTTGTAATTAGATGATAATTACATGAAATATATTTATATTGTCAGTTATAAAAAATATATTTTTATAATATTTTTTATTATGAATTATTATAAATAAAACCACTTCTATCAATCGACCTATAGCACAAAAATTAAAAATTTGTTCCATGTATAAAAATGTTTACTGACACTCTAACATAAATTTATGTAAATATCCTTTGGTACATTCATAAGAGAGAAAGAAAATAATATTTTACATAAAAATCACTTAAAAGAGAGTGACAATAGATATATAAACATGAAAATAATACTTACTTCCTCGTTTATTATTTACTATTATCACTATCATTTAAAAGTAATATCTTTAAAAATAACAATAATAAAAATAAAAATACATCAAGTCTAATGGGCTCACCAAATTTACCATTTATCCTATTATAATATATTACTTTATTTTTCATTCAAACTATTTAATAATCATAATAATAATAAAATAAAAATATTTTTAAAATTTAAATACATCATAAATTTATCTTTATAATTAACTATCATAAAATTTAATGATTCTCATATTTATGGGAGACAAAAATCTCTCTCTAAATATTTAATGCAACTACATATTAAAGACTCACACATGGTATAGCTTATAATTTAAGATTAGATAATAATGTATAATTAATTATTTTAATTAATTTTTTTAAAATAACATGAATTAATGTGCATGGATAAAACAACCGGTGAAATTGCAACATAATTTAATAGAACAAGAGTTGTATATCATCTTTATTTAGTTTTAAAAATATAAAATACATCCAACATTAACAACGGATTTAAAATTAATAACAAATCAAGTATTACACTGTGACGTACTTGCATATTACTTAGGAGCAAGGCTCAATTCATTCACTGAGGAATCTTATTCAACTTACAATAAACATAATCCTTAAATTTCTTGGTCTTGTATTTTGGTGGATTGTCTTCGTTAACTAACTTTGGATAAGGACCAACCTCATGCTCGGGTTGTGGCTCTATAAACACCGGCCACGACATCCTTGTCTTATCTTTGTTCACTGTTGTTCTGTGAAAAACGGCCTTGTATTTTCCATTGCTTAATATCTATACCACCATAAAAATAAAGTAACATTATTTACTCATGTGAACAATAATTTTTATTTTTAACTTGAATAAAAACTAATAGTAAATAAATATTTTCGTAAACCTAAAAGTTTGAATCATAAAAATAAAATATTTTCTTTAAGAAACATTAAAAGATATGTTTTTATTATCTGAAAATTATGTTAAACTGGACACCATTAGAAGATGTTAATATTCTTTAGATTATGTATGTGTATCAGTAAAAGATGATAGAGTGAAATAAAATGAAATGAATTAAAATAAAATGGAATGAATTAAAATATAGTCCAATTTTTTATTTTTGTATTTAGATAACCTACAAGTTTCATCTCTTATTTGTTAATTTAGAAGGAAAGAAAAGTAGATAAAATAAGATAGAACTAGATGGATAGACTAGCTCCACCAACATTCATTCCATTCTATCTTTTTTTATTTTATTTAAAATAATGGTTTATAAATTTATCTCACTAAATCACATCTCATTCCATCTCTTTTTTTTCAACTAAGTATAACCTTCAAATGAGACATGAAAAAGTAAAAAAGAAAAAAAAAAACTATAGTAAAAAAAGAAGGAAAGAGACAAAAGAATTATATATTATAAGAGTGTAAAAAAAAATTTAAGTTATACCTCTATTTGGTCCCCAATGTGAATGATGAGGGCATTAGGGACATACTTAACATCGTACCAATAGCCATCTCTAGAAGCTTGAAGGCCTTGCACCTCGTTGGGCACCAAAATGGTGAGGTAAGACATGTCTGTGTGTGGTGGCACACCTAGGACCAAATCAGGACAAGGACATGGTGGGTAATAGTTTATTTTTAGAAGATGTATCATCTCATCTTCATTTGCAGCTTCCTTTAGCTCATTTTCTTCAAGCCCAAGCCCTATTGACATACACTTGAACAATTTGTTCACCATCGCATGTAGGTACTTGCAGTATTCCTCATTGACCTCTCTGATTAAAAATTAAGTGTTACTAGGCATTGGTTATCTCAATAAATAATAATGGTTTAAACATTTTTCCTCACATTTGATCAATTTTTTTGTTTTAATCACTTCAAATAAAATCTTCTTGTCCTGGTCTTACTTTATCATAATTTTTTTTTATTTAACTCTTATTGTTGATTTGGTCTATCATAATACCATCAAGTGTTAGCTTTTTTTCAACTATATCTGCTAGATGGAGTAAAAATAATAATGCGTGAAAAAATGCATGTATGGGACAGATTTGGACAAAGAAAACTAACTTGTAAGAAGGAGGGTTCTTAGGCCAGAAATGGTAGTTTATGGAGGAAGGTGGCCATACAATGTGAAACAAATGGTCTACCCAACCCTTCTTGCCATTCACCTCTTTTGAAAGCTTTGTGCCATACCCTTCTAAGGAATTAGATCCCATAGGCGTAGCATATAACTCCTTTTCTTCTTGGGGTAACTCAAAGAACTCTTTACCCACATTTTGTAACTTGCTTATAACTTCACTAGGTATTTCATGGTTCACAATTTGGAACATACCCCAGTCCTTAGACGCCTCCACAATCTCATGGATCACCTTTCGTTCATCTGGGTCACTTAAATCAATAATGGGGACCTCAAGATTCACCCCATGAACTGTTGTGATGCCTGGTTGCTCCGTCTCTGACCTAACAAACATGTCTGGGATTGGATCATCTTTGGATTCGGAAGCTATGGTTTGCACCCTTAGTGTCTCCATGTTGTGTTATTGACACTTTTTTTTGTGTGTTGAGTCTTGAATTTTATAGAAAAACCTACTGCTTACCAAAGTATATTGAAAAACAAGTTCAGAACAATAAGTGAATGGTTGAAAGTACACATAGAAATAAGTTAAATTACTCGTGAATTAGTAAAATTTAAGTTATTAAAGACTTCATCAAATGTATAACTTTGAAGTTAAAGTTAATTATTTTAGTAAATTTAATTTTTGCAAATTTCACTTAATAACTCAATATATATGTTTACTTAAACAATTATAATTTTATTTATTTTATTATATATATGCACATATGCATAGTGAAAAAATTGTCCAGATCTCTTAAAACTAGATAACTTTAATTTATATCTCTTAATAACTTTTCATATAATAAAATATTTATTAATCTAATCATTGGTTTGAGAGTTCATATATAGTATATCAATCTTATAAAATTTTATGTAAAAACAGAATTAATAGATATTTTATTGTATTAATGTAGTATAACATATAATATATTATTAAATTATAAGTAAATGTCAAATGTTAGACAACATACTTGCAAATATCTAAATTATATGAAATTTGATATAATAATAATAATAATATTTTATAACTCAATGATTAGATTAGTTAACATTGCATCTTATGAAAATTTATTATGCAATATTATAAGTGTTTAACTTTGACATTTGGTGTCAATAGATCTTTTCTCACACACATGATAAGCGATCAATTTACACTGCTGTAAATTATACTCATTAACCTAATCGTAAATTTATAATTATGTATTGCCTTAATATTTTGTGTAAAATTTTATTAAAATTGAACAACTATAAAAATGTAATAAAAGGGTTCCAAATAAGGTATCAAATGATTTTGAATGATCTAAAATATGATGTATATGAACGAGGTCTCAAATTATTTTTGAATTAATCTAAAATTTTGTAAATATGATATATGTGTTTGAAATTTTTATAGTTTCCTATATCCTGTGAATTAGTATAATTTAGTTAAATTAATTAATAAAAAAGGTTTTATAGTTTTATTACTCTTAATTTTAAAAATTGAAGCATACCACTCAAAGAACTAAAAGTATTATTTTGTAAAAAGAAATAAAATAAATATATATTTTTGGGATTTTCAATACAATTTAACATAATTTTTAATAAAAAAATTACTTTTAATTTTTCAAACAATAATATAAAAGCACTAATTAGCGAAATCTTTAAAATACTATATCTCATAGGAAAACCATTACCTAGCAAAGCACATGGAATTGCATTGATGAACGTAAATGAATGGTCCGGAGTTAGGAAATGAAACTCACTCTTCCCATCACGGGAGGATCTGTTGTTTTATTTAATGAAAGGAATTCCAGAAGTACTGCTAAATGGGACGCAATCCTCAGATTAATGATCAGTTGAAGTTTATAGAAAAACTCATTACTTATCAAAGCATGTGGAAATGCATTCATGAACAATAAATGAATGGTTAGGAGTTAAGAAATGAAACTCCCTATTCTTGTTACTGGAGTATCTCATTTTTTATTTATAGGTATTCTAAGAGAATCGTTCAATGGGATTCAATCCTATGTTCATGATTATCTCAACAGAGACAACTACGGGCAAATGACCAGAGAAATGAAAGGAGAACCAGAAAAATAATGGCGTCGCTCAGAATTTTAAAAGATTAAAAATATGGGTTAAATGCATGAAATGTATCATATTATTAATAAAACATGTACATCAACTGATAGGAAATTGTTTTAATTTTGCCGCTCACAGTAGTCCTGCCGACTTGAATATGATTGTCTTCGTTGGAGGATAACATTTTACAATGTCTCCAATGCATAAATTTGAAGTAAATATTTCAAAATAATACTTACAAATATAAAAAACCATTTGAGATTGTGAAAGCTAAAGATAAAAGAAAATCTTTAAAAGTATTGAAAATGATTTAAAATATTTTTTGTTTTCGTTTCTGCATGGTTTTTATTAATAAAACAAATAGTAAATTCACATGCAGATAATATTTATGAGTGTAATTAAACTTATACCTTATGCTTTTATAACATACAACTCAGTGAATTAATCTATATATTGTTATATATTACAAATTGTTGAAAAAATAATATTTTAAAAACTTTGTAAAAAAAATAAGAAATCATAAATTATAGTTATTTGTCAACCTTTATATAATAAATAATAATATTCTATCTAAAAAGTGAAACATTCAATATATTTTTTCCTCTCACAGTCTATCATATATACTTTTTAATATTAGAATTATATTTTTAACGATTAAAACTGTTTCACAATGATATATAAATTACATACTCATTTTATTTATTTATATATATATATATATATATATATATATATATATATATATATATCACGTATACCTTTTAATATTAAAATTGTAGTTTTAGAGATTAAATTTGTTTGATAATAACGTGTAAATTAGACATTCATACTTTTTTTTATTATTTTATACAGTTTTAAATTTTTTGTTTTTTGTGTAGGTAAATAATATTTTAGATTTAAAAATATATATTTGAATAAGAAGGTATATATAGGAAACTAGTTTTTATTTTTTTAAAAGTAGAATGAAAAACACAAAAAATTGTATGCACAAGATATAATGTAATATAGCTAAATTAATAGTATTACAATTTTGTAGCATATAAATGACAAAATAATTTATATATTACTATTTGATATCATAATATAAATATTTTTAATTTTTTATTCCTTTTAAAAAAATAAAAAAATGAATGGCATATAAGAGATGATAAATTGTATTTCTTGGTAACATAATTTTTAAAACAAAAATAGGAAAAATTATTTTTTATATATTTTGTAAGAAAAAGTGAAAAATTAGCAACAATTTTAAAATTTATGGTTTAAGATAAAAATAAATGATCTCATTACTCACATGTTGCAACAATTGACAAAAATAAAATCCAACTCACTTTCTGTTTTTTTATATTCACTTACCTCATTTATTATTTGCTATATCATCACTGTCATTTAAAAATAATTTACTTAAAAATAATAATAATAAAAATAAAAATGCATCAAATCTATAGTTCAAAATTTGTATAAGTGTCTACAATAATCATAGTTTTGATTCAAACTATTATAAATCATTTAATAATCATAATAATAAAAGAAGAAAAATAATTTTGATCTTTTATAACACTCTAATTTTTTCTTCATTTTACAAATGATTATTGGATTATGTTAATTTTATTGAATTAGAAGTAAGTAGTACATAAAAACTTGAGAATTAGAATTTTCTTTAACAAAATTTATCTAAACGGGTCTGATCAGATCTAAAATAAAAGAAATAAAAATCTAAAAAAATAATTTTAGACTATATAGAATAGTTGTATATGAATTATAAGAAGTATAGAAAAATCTAAAAATATAAAATAAATAAAATTGTAAAATTTGACCAAAATGATTAAAATATCCCTAGAAACACCTCAAATGGAGGCACATTTTGGATAACCAAATGAAGGAGTTAAATTCTAAAATTTTTATGGCGAATAGCCCATTTTTATAAGTTATAGACATGAAATTATTGATTCCAAAGAGAAAGTATAGAAATTACCCAAAATTACTCAAAAAGAGGCCTAAAAGTTAAGTATAAATGAAGGAAAGTGGGCTAGGAATAGTATTAAGGAGCCACATGACCTATTAGAGCCCATGTGAGACTAATTATGATTAAGGGATAAGGTTAAATATGGTTTAACCCTAGCTGGATGAGTATACTTCACAAGAACTAATGAAGTCAGGCTATGTCAATAAAGTAATCATTAAGGAGATAAGACTAATGATGAGTAATTTGTGTTAATGAATCTAATTGAACGATAACCATGACCATTGGATTTGAACTAAATAGATTTTAAAAAGTAATTGGAATAATTAGAATAGAACTAGGAAGGTTAAAATCTAACTAGAAATATAAAAGCCATCATAAAATGGCAATTTGGACTTTTACAAATGTGCACATGTCTAGGCTTGGGGAATAACCCAAAAAAAATACCAAAATTAAATCTCAACACTTGTGAGAGAGGGTGTGCAGCCATGTGATGTCTTGGGGGAGGGGCAACAACAAGTCAAATTTTCTATTTAAAGCATGCATGCAAAATGGAAGAATTTTCACTCATTTTTCATACAAGCCTAAGTAAATTTCCATTCTTCTTCATCTCAATTCTCTCTAAATACATCCAAGTTTATCTTAAACACTTCACTTGAATCCCATAAAGTTAGATCATCCAATACCTCTTCATAAAAGTCTTGAATCAAACTTTTAAACCCTACTAAAAACACCAAGATACCCTACAAATCCACAAAGTTTCTAAATTTTCTTCTTGGAGACCATTGTCAAGTGATCAAGGAGGAGACAAAGGAAGAAGAAAACTCATTTCCAAGAGGAGAAAGGAAGTAAAAAGGGAAAAGGGAGAAGGATTACCCAAAAATCAAGGCAAGATCAATACAAACAACACCAAGTATGGGGGTATTTTTCATAATCAAGGAGAATACTTTATTTAAATTATTTTGAGTCAAATGAGAGCCTTAATCCTGTTTGGTTGCGTTAAATTTGTATGTATTGATGAATCCATGATTGAAAGTTTGATTGAAACAAGTAAATGCATGAAAATCACTAAGACCACAAAGTGTGCTGTATTTGATGATGAATTTACTTGTTATGTAGTTGGTTGCACGAAAATCTTGCATGTTTCATGTAGATCTATGATTTTGTGACTTGTTTCTATGGTATTTAAGTTGGATTCATGATTTTTGGATAGAAATTATTTTAGAGTTAAAATGAATTTCTAAACTATTTTTGAAGATTTATCAAAGAAACTTATAAAAAGAAATAGATTAAAAATAGAAAGTGATCATAATGAAGACTCTTGGACTTTTGGACATGTTTGGACCTATGGACTACATGAACAAATAATGAGAACAAACTTTGAAAAATAAATT